TTTTACGATAAAAAAGTAAAGAACAAAAGTTGTCGGAAATTAAATTTTAAAGTTTGATTGTCCTTTAGGTATTTTCGATAGAATCGATCGTAACCGAGCCATCGACATGTCAATACTGCGAATGACCTTGCGAAAGCTGTTGCAAATATTAAATGGAATCACGTTCGACAAAATATTTTTAAACCAAGAAAATCGGTAAAAAGATCGTTGATCGAAAACAACCGGTTCCCTTCAACACCGAAAAAGCCACGGGAGGAATATGAAACACATCGTAAAAGGCACTTTCACTCAACATTCGATCGAACCGAATCGTCGCCGCTTCTTTTCGCTTCGTTTACGATCCGATTCGCGAACAACACTTTTCCTCTTTCTCTCTCACTCTCTCAGCATTGCAAGAGCATACAAAAAGTTGGAATTTGCGAAAACTCGGGACACCAATTCTTTCTTTCCTTTCACTCTCACTCTCTCTCTCTCTCTCTCTCTCTCTTTGTTTCTCGCTAATAAACACACGGGTGTCCCGATTCAAAAAAGGTTTCTTGAGATGTATAATAATATATGTATGTATATGTACAGAGTAAGATTTCTCGAAAGAACATTATTCACGTTTCCTCGGTATATGAGTTTCATTAATTTTTTCATTGGATCACAGAATGGTAGCGCCCGAGCGTGGCAATTTTCTTGTTAAAGGCATTCGAAAACGACCAGGGACGAGCGACTCTCGTCTCTAAACGAGACATTTCGTACGTTTAACATTCCTTTACGCTCACACGATGAGTGAAAAAGAATGACCATTTAACTTTCAGCAATTTTCACCTTTACGAATCTATAATGATCCCAGCAGTAAAAACGAATAATAAGGTCGTCGTTTGGGGCCGAGATTGTGGGTGTAAACGGAGCTTAACGCGACGAAACGTAGAATCGGATCGTTTTCGAAGTACCTCGCCGTCTAAAGCTAGCATACGTAATTAAATACCCAAGGTATTATAAAATGGAATATAGCATATTAAACTTACGGACTATCTTAACGGTACTACGCTATGTCAGTCACTGGACACTCGGTGTTCCCCAATAAGCAATCTTGGAACGCCAAAGAACAGATCGCCTTTGTTTAACAATTCTTGCTGCAAGTGAAAAAATTGAAAAATTCAAATGTGACCTTGAATCAAATTTGACAAACGATGGATCCATCGATGGAGCATCGGAAAGAAACATTCTGTGCCAAATTTCAACCTTCTACCTTATTCGGAAGGGTAGTTATAGGGACAATCCGGATCAGCGAGTTTGTGCCTGTTTCTCCTATTTAATCGAGTACGAAAATTATGAAAAAAATCTGGTGAATTGCGGTTATTGAGACACGTGTTAGAGAATTTTTTCCGATTTTTCGATTCGAAATTCTAGGCGTGAAAAATTAAAAACGCAGGAAAATACCGATTTCGTACTGAAGCTTTACAGACACTAGATTTATATAATTACTGTAAATGCATGTTGTCATTGGTGATGTCCCTGAATTTTTTCCGATTTTTCGATTCGAAATTCTAGGCGTGAAAAATTAAAAACGCAGGAAAATACCGATTTCGTACTGAAGCTTTAGAGACACTAGATTTATATAATTACTGTAAATGCACGTTGTCATTGGTTATGCCCCAGAATTTTTTCAGATTTTTCGATTCGAAATTCTAGGCGTGAAAAATTAAAAACGCAAAAAAACGCAGGAAAATACCGATTTCGTACTGAAGCTTTACAGACACTAGATTTATATAATTACTGTAAATGCACGTTGTCATTGGTTATGCCCCAGAATTTTTTCCGATTTTTCGAATCGAAATTGTAGGCGTAAAAAATTAAAGACGCAAAAAAATACCGATTTCATACTGAAGCTTTAGAGACACCAGATTTATATAATTACTGTAAATGCACGTTGTCATTGGTTATGCCCCAGAATTTTTTCAGATTTTTCAAATCGAAATTGTAGGCGTGAAAAATTAAAAACGCAGGAAAATACCGATTTCGTACTGAAGCTTTAGAGACACTAGATTTATATAATTACTGTAAATGCTTGTTATCATTGGTTATGCCCCAGAATTTTTTCCGATTTTTCGATTCGAAATTGTAAGTGTGAAAAATTAAAAACGCAAAAAAACGCCGGAAAATACCGATTTCGTACTGAAGCTTTCGAGACACTAGATTTATATAATTACTGTAAATGCACGTTGTCATTGGTTATGCCCCAGAATTTTTTCAGATTTTTCAAATCGAAATTGTAGGCGTGAAAAATTAAAAACGCAGGAAAATACCGATTTCGTACTGAAGCTTTAGAGACACTAGATTTATATAATTACTGTAAATGCACGTTGTCATTGGTTATGCCCCAGAATTTTTTCAGATTTTTCAAATCGAAATTGTAGGCGTGAAAAATTAAAAACGCAGGAAAATACCGATTTCGTACTGAAGCTTTAGAGACACTAGATTTATATAATTACTGTAAATGCATGTTGTCATTGGTGATGTCCCTGAATTTTTTCAGATTTTTCGATTCGAAATTCTAGGCGTGAAAAATTAAAAACGCAAAAAAACGCGGAAAAATACCGATTTCGTATTGAAGCTTTCGAGACACTAGATTTATATAATTACTGTAAATGCTTGTTATCATTGGTTATGCCCCAGAATTTTTTCCGATTTTTCGATTCGAAATTGTAAGTGTGAAAAATTAAAAACGCAAAAAAACGCAGGAAAATACCGATTTCGTACTGAAGCTTTACAGACACTAGATTTATATAATTACTGTAAATGCACGTTGTCATTGGTTATGCCCCAGAATTTTTTCCGATTTTTCGAATCGAAATTGTAGGCGTAAAAAATTAAAGACGCAAAAAAATACCGATTTCATACTGAAGCTTTAGAGACACCAGATTTATATAATTACTGTAAATGCACGTTGTCATTGGTTATGCCCCAGAATTTTTTCAGATTTTTCAAATCGAAATTGTAGGCGTGAAAAATTAAAAACGCAGGAAAATACCGATTTCGTACTGAAGCTTTAGAGACACTAGATTTATATAATTACTGTAAATGCATGTTGTCATTGGTGATGTCCCTGAATTTTTTCAGATTTTTTGATTCGAAATTCTAGGCGTGAAAAATTAAAAACGCAAAAAAACGCGGAAAAATACCGATTTCGTATTGAAGCTTTCAAGACACTAGATTTATATAATTACTGTAAATGCTTGTTATCATTGGTTATGCCCCAGAATTTTTTCCGATTTTTCGATTCGAAATTGTAAGTGTGAAAAATTAAAAACGCAAAAAAACGCAGGAAAATACCGATTTCGTACTGAAGCTTTACAGACACTAGATTTATATAATTACTGTAAATGCACGTTGTCATTGGTTATGCCCCAGAATTTTTTCCGATTTTTCGAATCGAAATTGTAGGCGTAAAAAATTAAAGACGCAAAAAAATACCGATTTCATACTGAAGCTTTAGAGACACCAGATTTATATAATTACTGTAAATGCACGTTGTCATTGGTTATGCCCCAGAATTTTTTCAGATTTTTCAAATCGAAATTGTAGGCGTGAAAAATTAAAAACGCAGGAAAATACCGATTTCGTACTGAAGCTTTAGAGACACTAGATTTATATAATTACTGTAAATGCATGTTGTCATTGGTGATGTCCCTGAATTTTTTCAGATTTTTCGATTCGAAATTCTAGGCGTGAAAAATTAAAAACGCAAAAAAACGCGGAAAAATACCGATTTCGTATTGAAGCTTTCGAGACACTAGATTTATATAATTACTGTAAATGCTTGTTATCATTGGTTATGCCCCAGAATTTTTTCCGATTTTTCGATTCGAAATTGTAAGTGTGAAAAATTAAAAACGCAGGAAAATACCGATTTCGTACTGAAGCTTTAGAGACACCAGATTTATATAATTACTGTAAATGCATGTTGTCATTGGTTACGTCCCTGAAATTTTTCATTAAAGGGAATACAAAAATTCAAAGTATAAGTTGCTTTTTCACGCGAAAAACGCCGAAAAAATCGATTTTTGATTTTTGTTACTACGGCGTACCATGCCAAAAAATCTGAAAAAATTCAAGGACATAACCAATGACAATACGCATTTACAGTAATTATATAAACCTAGTGTCTCGAAAGCTTCAATACGAAAACGATATTTTTCTGCATTTTTAATTTTTCACGCCTAGAATTTCGAATCGAAAAATCGGAAAAAATTCACAAACACGTGTCTCAATAACCGCAATGCACCAGATTTTTTACGTAATTTTCGTATTCGATTAAATAGGGGAAACAGGCACAAATTCGCTAATCCGAATTTTGCGGAATAACTACCCTTCCGAACAAGATAGAGGGTTGAAATTAGGCACAGAGTGTTTTTCTTTGATGCCCTATTGATGGATCCATCGTTTATCAAATTTGGTTCAAGGGCACATTTGACCCCCTTATGATACCCTTTAACGTCGAGTGTGCGTGGACAAAGAATGAACCTAGGAAAGTAATTTTCAACTTTAATCGCAGCTCCCTAACTTCACGCCAAAGAACAGATCGCCTTTGTGTAACAATTCTTACAACAAGAATTGAAAAAATTCTTGCAAATTCAATGCAACGTGAAAGGACCCCGCACAGATAATGTTCAAATTTAATGTCCTAATTTTCAAAGTTATGGAAATCGAGTCTAAATTTAACAAATTTCTTGAAAAAAAAATTATTTCTCATGATTTTTCAGTGATATTGTTAAATTAAAGATTTTATTATTTAAAATATTTTCTTCGTTGATTTTAGTCAGCTCTCGAGGTTTTTAAATCATTCATCTTCTTTTGTTCCTCGAATGCAACCCCCTTGCACCCCTAATTTTCAAACTCACGGAAATCGAGTTTAAATTTGAAAATGGCCCCCGGTTAAATTAGCTGAACTTTTGATACGATATAGTTCATGATGTCTTGATGAAAAGTTCCAATGGGCCCAAGCTCGTAAATTGAACAGTTTCCGAGATACGGGGGGATCAAAAGTCAATAATAGTGCGCTTTATTCTAGACTACCACGTTTGACCATATTTGAGTGCAAGAAGCACTGTTGTACACTGTCCATTTATTTGACCCTTTAAAACTCAGTAGTTGTACTGTGGGCCCTTAAATATTACCCCTTGACCCCCTGACCCTCAGACTCCCATTCAGGAGTCAAAATAAAAAAATGCTAAAAAGGTAAAAAATGGTTCTCTTTTTCAGTGTACAAACATGAAACACCGTCGACATTAGCATCAGTGTGCACCACGAGGAGGTTGCTCGATCGGATTTTGCACACCACGTGGCCCCAAAGAGGGCCGTTTTTATAGTTCTCTCTATTCGACCATAAGAACCTCAACATTCATATTGTCTCGATGGTCTCTATCAGCGTCATCTCTGGTCGTATTTAGAAGATCGCCATCCGAATATTTGACACGCCTTCGATGACGAGCAAATCCTAAAAACCTTAAAACACTTGCAATATGCAGTAGTAACCATTCATTACTTCCTCTTCCAGTTCCAGTTCATTTTTTGGGAACGTGAGAAATAAGAATTCGATGTTTGGTACGATTCCGAAATCGTGAATAAACTTTCAGTCTTCCAAGGCTGTTATCTACCAACGAAGCGTCAATTTGCGCTGATAGAGGGCATCGAGACAATATGAATGTTGAGATTGTTATGGACAAATAGAGGGAACTATAAAAACGGCCCATTTCAGGGCCTCATGGCGCACCTTTTACCTTTTTGGTGTTTTTTCACAGGGTCACAACTTCTTAGACTCAAGTATGCTCAAACGTGGTAGTCCAAGGCGCACTATTATTGCCATTTGACCCCCCCTGTATCTCGAAAACTGTTCAATTTACGAGCTTGGGCTCATAGGAACTTTTCATCGAGACATCATGAGCTACATACATCGTATCAAAAGTTCAGCTAATTTAACCGGGGGGGCCATTTTCCATAATATCTGTGCTGGGTCCTTTAACGTCGTTTGAGGACGCCGCGCGCGAAACCAAAGAATGAATCCAGGAACGGAATTTTCAACATTAATCGCAGTTCCCCAAAGAACAGACCACCTTTGTCTAACAATTCTTGCAACAAGAATCGAAAAAATTCTTGCAAATTCAACGCAACGTGAAATTCAACGTCCAGAATGCGAGGACGCCAGGCACGAAACCAAGGAATGAACGGAATTTTCAACTATAATCGCAGTTCCCCCATTTTGGAAACTTCTACAACGACGTTTAAAAATGATTCTTTGGCAAGGAAACATACAACAAAACAGACTACGAGCGCTATGCAAAAGCACGTTTACTTAAATTACTTGGAATGTATCGAGTACGCTGATGCTACCCTCCTAGTTGAAATACAAATTAACGGTAACTGGAGGAGCAACTAGGCGATATGAACAAGGAAAAGATGATCAGCAAGTGCAATGACTGATATCGAACCCGCGAACGTCGGTGAAATTTCCTTAAACGTTAAAGGACATTCGTTTCGATAAGTTGTGCTTCTAAAGACACGTGGGCCCCGAGCGTGGGCCCCGACCGCGGGCCCTCATTACCGATATAACTATTAAGTATAATGAGTACGTTGGCGTCGAAAAAATTCATCCGTAGATCCCATAAACGTCTACCGATCGAATACAGACGATCGATCGATCGGTTCGATCATTGATATCCTCGTCGACTTCGTTCCATCCTCGTCATCCTCATCGATCCTCCTAAATCCTCGATAATTCTCTACCGTTCCTCTCGAATTAATTAAATCTTGGTCCTTGGGTGCATTTTGCTTCTTTTTCTCATCCATAAGTCGACAATTCTCGGACAATTCTCGATTACACCTACTTCGCGCGGTCTCTCAAAGGATCAGATCTGATCGCAGAGTTTAGAACTTTCGCGAAAGCTTCGATGGACGAACATTTTTATCAATTTCGTTTCCCTCGTGGATCAACAGAAGCGTCGAATTTGCGTCGACCAAGTTATCGAGACCACCCCGCAGCTGGGCGAACTGAATGCAATGGCGCAACAACGATCTCGCCCCGTAATTCGTCGCGGAAATTGATTTTCTAGCGTCGACGTCCAAAGACTTGTTCCTCCGGCACATAAAAGGACATCTTGTGCTCGGTATCGCTCCGACTGGACTTCCTGGCAGGAAATTGCCTCGAGTGGAATTACATTTGGCGCGAGCAATTGCCGATCAAACATAAATCCTTCAACGACACCCTCGATCTCGTCGAAACTCTGAAACCCCATTCAGATTTTCCAGATCCAAAGAGTCAATTTTGATCTCGATAACTTGCAGTCCACGTATGTACCTCGACAGGCTAGAAGACGATTGGAAAGTTCCGGGAAAAACAAGGTCCTCGTACAGATCGAAGATCAAACACGCGGAATGCGGTTGTCGTGTTTGGTCTAAAAAGTTCAAAAATAGTCTTAACGATCGAAGATCAAAGCTCTGGCTCAGCTAGTCGCGCCTCGCGATCCAACAATCCGGTGTAAACCAGCCATTCGTTTCTTCCCTCTTCTCGAACTAACTCGAAAACGATTGTTAAGCGCACACCGTCGAGCAGGATCGACGCGTGAAAAAGGTAAGAAAGCGCACCGAATTCGCACTCGAGACCTCGTCGTACGTAGGTGAACGATTCGAAGGACCCCCTGATTAGATCCTGGATACGTAAAGGGGTCGATGGGCCTGCTGGGGGTTCCCGTTCTGCTTGGAGTATCGAGGGTTCTGCAACAGTTCTCTGGTCTCGCTGGGTGAGCCAGGACTCAGACTATTGGTGGTCGACGTTTCGACGCGATCGCTGATGATCTCCTCCTCGGTGATCTGCTCGAGGTAGAGGGCCGAGGGGACGACCTGGTGGTCCCCGTTCATCGTGGGTGGCGGCGAGTAAGCGGGTGGAGGGCTCCTAGGCGGTGACGTCGAGTCCTTCTCGTTCTCCGTCTCGATGGATGCGCTGGAGGCCACCTGCTGCATCTGCCTCGCTCTTCTGGCGTGTCTGGTGGTCAGTCCCCCGGTCTCCGCGTCCCTCTCCAGCCTGTGCCCCGACCTGGACCTGGTCAGCTGCCTCTGCACGTACTCCTCCAGGTCGTTCTCCTCCTTCTTGGCGATCACTCGGTTCAGGATGATGAGAAACACGCCCACCAAGATGGCGAACAGCCCAATGGCAACAAGCTCGTTCCACCAGCCGCCTGACGCCTTGGTGCCCCACTGGGCCAAGTCACCCGGCAGCAGACCGCTCATGAGGAGGAACGCGCCGAGGACCAGGAACACCACGCCGATGTGGAGCATCCCGATCGACGTCACCACCTTCGTGTCCAGCATCCCCTGGCCGGCTGAACGGCTCGAGTGACCGGACTTGTGCTGCCTGGGCTGATGGTCCAAGGAACCTGTCGACGCCCTCGGCGATGTCAACCCGCTCTCGCCCGACTGGGCGCTGTAACGGCGCTCGCGGGCACGACGCTGCTCGTCACGGCGCTTTCTCTGACGCTTGATGGCCAGCGCCGAGTGCAATCCAACCGCGTGCATCCTGCAACACCGGAAAGACAACCCTTGGCTCAGTCAATTCTCTACCAGACAGATCTCTACGCCCCCGGGGTACCACTCTAACGGATCTATTCGTTACATGCATCGAGTCAACCAAACACCACCCATCGTTTCAACCACCGAGCTATTTATTTATCAGTTAACTTGCCCGTCTATCTCACGCAGCTTTCCCTCGCTAGCCGGGCAACTTTTCTCGACCCTAAACACGGTGTACAGGGTTCATTCACAGGGTTCACAGGATGCACTGCGACGGAATCACGCGCCAACGGATTACCAAGCAATTTCCATTGGTGTCCTCGGGCCTGTGAACGTTTCTTCTTGCTCGCCATAGTCAGACATCGAGTCTCCAATCGAAACAATTCGAAACGTTACCGTCTCAAGCCCGCCTCACGGCTGTTTCTATGTGTTACCCCTAAAAATTTATCAGACTCTCCCCATTGTTCCAACAAAGGAATCACGACCAACTAAGCGAACCGAGCTCGATCGAATAATTTTGTAATAATAGCGTGGAACGTCGGGGGTTGGGAATTTTAAATTTTATTTCACGACGTTCCCGTCCATAGTAATAGCGTTACCATGGCTTTTAAGGGCTGCAATTTCTACACTTGAGTCGAAATTACGTCGAAAAAAGATTGTCAACGTCGCCCACGAGCCTCGCAACCGCCAAGTTAGATCGTTGTTTAGCGACTTTATAGACAGTAATTTCTTTTCGATGCACTCCTGCGCCTCGAAACGACGTTTCCTTTACGTCGAGGAAATTCCAGTCGCGAGACAAATGTGTCCCCCGGTTTCCTCGCGCGTCCTCTGGCGTTGTCGTTGCTCTAATGGAGGATCGACAATGGTTCTCTCTCGAGGCTTTCTGGAGATGTTACACCCCCCTGAGCTACGTTTCGTGTTGACACGTGCCTCCGGAAGGTACGCCCTATTTTCTCTGACACCGAACCGACTCGGAACGTCGTTAAACACGCGAAAGGAATTCTTTTGCAGAAATTAACCCCTTTTTTTCAAGAAATTTGTAGATAAACTTTGGTTCCAGAAGGGTGAATTTGTATCATTTTTTAAATATACTCTGGAAAAAATTTTAATGGGAGATTCTGGAGGCCAAAATGAGACGAAAATCAAGGATACCGATTTGTTGATTGAGGCTTCTTTAAAAAGTTATGGAAACATTTCCGGTCCCACGGTATATTTTTGGTAAAGAAATTTTTTTCTCGAAAGTGTGTGGGATTTTGGGAGTGTGTCTGTTCACCAAAAATGCTTGCAATTGACCTTTGTAATTAAGTATAATTTTTTTAGTATGATTTGAAATTTTTTAATTTCGTCTAAAAATTTCTGTACCTACGCGAATTTTTTTCTCGAAAGTGGTTAGGATTTCGGGGGTATGTGTATTCACCAAAAATGATTGCAATTGACCCCTGCAACCGAAAATAATTTTTCTAGAACGATTTGAAATTTTTTTTTTTCTCGTCGAAAAATTTAGGGACTTCCCCTTGTCGATTTTTCTTAAAAATTTGTTTTTCATTTTTATTAAATTTGTTTGAAGGTCTACAGAAAAGTTGTCTAATACTTTTTTGTAGGTATCCATGAACTCTACTTCCCCCCAAAATTTCAATCCAATATATTCACTATTCTAGGAGTTATGGTCGTCTGAAAATTGGACCATTTTTATGGGGCTTTTCTCGCTTTACGGGGTTAAGGAACAACATTTCGAATATTTTTGTAATTTGTACATATTCTTCACTAAAATACGAGTTATTTGCTTTTTGAAACATTAAAATCCTCCAATCCGTTCAGAAGTTATGACGTTTTAAAGATACGCATGAAATTTTGGTGTGACATTTTAATTTTTTTCTCGAAAGTCGTTAAGATTTCGAGGGTATGTTCATTGACCAAAAATTATTGTAATTGACTCCTGCAACTAAAAATAATTTTTTTACAATGATTTGAAATTTTTTAATGTCGACGAAAAATTTCTCCACCTAAACGAATTTTTTTCTCGAAAATGCTTAGGAATTCGAGGGTATATCTACTCATCAAAAATAATTGTAATTGACTCCCCTAGCTAAAAATATTTTTTTTAGAACGTTTTGAAATTTTTTAATTTTGCCAGAACATTTCACCACCTACTGGAATTTTTTTCTCGAAAATGCATAGGATTTCGAGGGTATATCTACTCACCAAAAATAATTGTAATTGACTTCCCTAGTTAAAAATATTTTTTTCAGAACGTTTTGAAATTTTTTAATTTTGCCAACTTTTACCACCTCCTGTCGATTTTGTTAAAAAATTAGTTTTCGATTTTTAATAATTTTATTTGGCGACCTACAGAAAAGTTGTGTAATAATTTTTTGTAGGTACACATGGACTCTACTTCAGAAAAAAATTTCATGGAAATATATCCACTATTGTAAGATTTATGGCTGTTTGAAAATTAGACCATTTTTATGGGGGTTTTCTAATTTTACGAGTTTAATGAACAACTTTTTCAATATTGTTAGAGTTTCTACATATTCTTCACTAAAATACGTATTATTTGCCTTTCGAAACATTGAAATCCTTTAATCCGTTCAAAAATTATGATTTTTTAAAGATATGCTTGAAATTTTAGAGTGACATTCCTGGCCTGAAATTATATTTTCAGTAAAGAATTTTTTTCTCGAAAGTGCGTAGGATTTCGGGGATATATCTAATCACCAAAAATAATTGCAATCGTCCCCCTCAACTAAAAACAATTTTTTCAAAACGATTTGAAATTTTTTAATTTCGATGAAAAATTTCTCCACCTACTGGAATTTTTTTCTCGAAAATCCATAGGATTTCAAAGGTATATCTAATCACCAAAAATTATTGTAATCGACCCCCTCAACTAAAAACAATTTTTTCAAAACGATTTGAAATTTTTTAATTTCGATGAAAAATTTCTCCACCTACTGGAATTTTTTTCTCGAAAATCCATAGGATTTCAAAGGTATATCTAATCACCAAAAATTATTGTAATCGACCCCCTCAACTAAAAACAATTTTTTCAAAACGATTTGAAATTTTTTAATTTCGCTGAATAATTTCTCCACCTACTGGAATTTTTTTCTCGAAAATCCATAGGATTTCAAAGGTATATCTAATCACCAAAAATTATTGTAATCGACCCCCTCAACTAAAAACAATTTTTTCAAAACGATTTGAAATTTTTTAATTTCGATGAAAAATTTCTCCACCTACTGGAATTTTTTTCTCGAAAATCCATAGGATTTCAAAGGTATATCTAATCACCAAAAATTATTGTAATCGACCCCCTCAACTAAAAACAATTTTTTCAAAACGATTTGAAATTTTTTAATTTCGCTGAATAATTTCTCCACCTACTGGAATTTTTTTCTCGAAAATCCATAGGATTTCAAAGGTATATCTAATCACCAAAAATTATTGTAATTGACACCCGCAACCAAAAATATTTTTTTTAGAACAATTTGAAACTTTGTAAATTTAATTTATTAATAACTTTCCAACGAAGTCTCAATCAACAAATTAATATTCTTAATTTTCGCCTTATTTTAGCCTCCAGAATCTCTCTTTAAAATTTTTCCCAGGATTGCCCCAACACCCTCTATATAAATAGTTTTTCCGACCGACAAAAAACCCTTTCGAGATCAAGTCATGCTGCAAAAGAATCAAACCCTAACCTCGGTTAGGTTTTCACCTATCCGCCCAACCCTACCAGCTCATAATCGATCGATGAGAAAAATGATGTCTCGAAATAACATTTACACAAGCCATCCCGCCCACCCAACGCTTTTCCATAATATTTCAAATAGAATAATCAGAAATTTCCAACAAAAAATAACCACAATTTCATTTTATTCGTATTTAGGCTCAATTTTAATCGCAAAACCTATATACAGGGTGGTCCACGCAATTGTTACAAGTCATAACTCCGTTATTATTGCATTTCCGAAAAAATGCCAAAGGAAAAAGATAAATGGTTCGAAGAGCACTACATCTGTAGGCCTTTAAATTTTTTTTAGATGCAGCAGTGCATGTGCAATTAACAATTGCATAATTTCTTTAAACAGAAATGCATATTTCTTTTTACACAGATCGATTCTTTTGTTCATTCTACGTAGAAAATGATTAGGGTACCATGGCCAAAAAATCATTAGATCTCGAGATATTTTCAAAAAATTTTTTTTATTGTTTGCACAACTGCGTTTAAATTATCTGCAGTTATTCTCAGATTCTCTAAAGAATCAATGGGATTCGAATAAATTCTATCTTTCAAATTAACCCTACAGAAAAAAGTCAAGGGGACTTAAATCAAGTGAACGGGCTGGCCAACGTATTGATGTATTTGTTGCGATAACGTTACTGCAAAACTTATTTTTTAGAAAGTTTCTGTTACGATAACAATATCGAAAGGGTGTTTACCTTTACAACATAGTCACGAAGTGTTTGAGTATCTTTTTCGATAAAGACATTTTTTGAAAATATCTCGAGATCTAATAATTTTTTTGCCATGGTACCCTAATAATTTTTTACGTAGAATGGACAAAAGAATCGATCTGTGTAAAAAAAAATATGCATTTCTATTTAAAGAAATGACGCAATTGTTAATTGCACATGCGCTGCTGCATCTAAAAAAAATTTAAAGGCCTACAGATGTAGTGCTCTTCGAACCATTTATCTTTTTCCTTTGGCATTTTTTCGGAAATGCAATAATAACGGAGTTATGACTCGTAACAATTGCGCGGACCACCCTGTATATAGCCTATCACACCTAGATAAGTATCATCTTGGAAGTCCAATTTTAATAGAATAATCAGAAATTTTCACCAAAAAAAAACCACAATTTCATTTTGGTCTTCTTTAGGCTCAATTTTAATCGAAAAACCTATATATATAGCCTATTACACCTAGTTAAGTATCATCTTGGAGGTCCAATCTCTTAATTCTCCCTTGTCCCAGGGTAAAATGGCTCTCCAGCTTCGTAGAGGGCTCGAGGTGAAGTGAAGAATACTCATCGGTGACGTGGCGGTAGTAACCGCGTTGCCCCGAAACGAAAACCGACGCCGCGAGTTCCGGGGTTCCCCGTTCGCGCGGCTCCAGTCGATTGTCTTACTAAGAACTTTTTCCATCGCGAGCTACCGAGGGAACTATGCACGACCGTGTACCGGGGTTTATTAATATTTACTGCCGGTGTAACGTAATGTAGGTCGAGCCACGACACCAAAGGGAGGGTAGGCTCTCACCCTGCACGCTGCTAGACACCAGCTACTTGCAGATAAGATTTTTATCTTTCGTACTTTATTTTCCATCGTAAACAACGATGGCCCGTTCCCTTCGAATCTTTCGAGATTTCAATCTTCGAAGGCGATACAAAGAAACTCAGATTTTTATGCACCAAACCGAACCATGGACTCCATGTGCCATTTCAGTGCCACATGGTGAGATTTCATTTGCAAAAGGGTCAATTGATTTCAATCTATAAAGGGGATACGAAGACACCCTTAAGAAAGATTTTTATGCACCAAATCGAACCATGGACTCCATGTGCCATTTTGTTACCACATGGTGAGATTTCATTTGCAAAAGAGTCAATTGATTTCAATCTTTAAAGGAGATACAAAGACACCCTTAAGAAAGATTTTTATGCACCAAATCGAACCATGGACTCCATGTGCCATTTCAGTACCACATGGTGAGATTTCATTTGCAAAAGAGTCAATTGATTTCAATCTTCAAAGGAGATACGAAGAAACCCTTAAGAAAGATTTTTATGCACCAAACCGAACCATGGACTCCATGAGTCATTTCAGTACCACATGGTGAGATTTCATTTGCAAGAGGGTCAATTTTCAGTGAAAAAACCTCTCACTTCCGGTGTCACCAAGCTTGATGGATCGATCGAGTGTTTGGTGGTGGGATTATGGTCTTGTTTGGTAATTTTTGTGTTCCTGGGTGTACAAGGAAGCGTGAAAAGTGGAAAATAATGAAGAAAATTCGAGTTACCACCCATCCCCGTTGATGAGTTTCGCGATCGCGATGCGCGGGACGCAGAATCGTTTCCTTCTCGAGCGATCAATAAACCATCCTCATCCCCGTTTACGGAACGCAAACGCAAAGTACACAAGCGTCGTCGGGGGTACCATGGTACGTGCAACGAGGTCACACACGTGCACGTGCATCGTTGCGTGAGTTTGTGTCAATCTCCAGGCGCCACGACGCGACGCGACGGTACGTTGCTCGTGAGAGAAGAAAGAAATTAACGGCCAAGTCCCCCTGGGATGACCTTAATTCCGATGCGGAACGACGACCAATCGTCCGCCGCGATCCTTTACTTACGCTCCTGCACCCGAAATATTACGATCCAACGCACCACCACTTTCGAGTCATCCACACAACTTGAGAAACTCATTGTTGAGTGTGTAAAGTTGTCATCTTTTGTTGGAGGTGGGATTGGGAGAGCTAATGGAGATTCAGGATCAAAATTAAATTGGTAAAATTGGTCGACAATTGATTTTGAGACCTAATGTGCTCCAAAGTAGGAGATACAAATTCAATGATGCCTGAGTCGGCATCTTTTGTTGGAAGTGGGATTGGAAGAGCTAATGGAGATTGTTATGGATGTTAATGGAAATTTAGGGTCAAAATTGAATTGATAAAATTGGTCGAAAATTGATTTTGAGACTTAATGTGCTCCAAAGTGGGAGATACAACTTCAATAATGCTTGAGCCGCCATCTTTTATTACAGGAGGAATTGAGAAGAGCCGGTTGAGAAGTATACTTACATAGATGCTAATGAAGATTTAGGCTCAAAGTTAAATTGATAATATTGGCCAAAAATTAACTTTGAGACCTAATGTGCTCCAAAGTAGGATATACAACTTCGATAATGACTGAGTCGCCATCTTTTATTAGTGGGGAGCTTGAAGATCTACTTGAGAACTATACCTATATAGATGCTAATGGAGATTTAGGGACAAAATTAAATTAATAAAAATGGTCAAAAGTTGGTTTTGAGACCTAATGTGCTCTAAAGTAGAAGATACAGCTTCGATAATGCCTTAGTCGCCATCTTTTATTAGAGGGATTGGAGAGGTGCTTGAGTAATACATGTACATGGATGCTAATGAAGATTTAGGCTAAAAATTAAATTGATAATATTGGCCAAAAATTGACTTTGAAACCTAATGTGCTCTAAAGTAGAATATACAACTTCGATAATACTTTAGTCGCCATCTTTTATTAGTGGAGGGATTAGGAGAGCTAATGGAGATTGTTATAGTTCTTAATGGAGATTCAGGCTCAAAATTTCAATAATAATGTTGTGTTCGTCGCGGGCATGGGCTCCCCGTCCAGCCAACTGACTCTCGCCGCCCCGGCGCATGGCAAGCCCGTTTGCCGCGCCTCCTGGCGGCACCTACTATACCCAACATCTTCCCTTCAGAAAAGTCAGCACTCCAAATAGGATTTAGAGGCTGGATCTAACATCAGTCTTCTTACTGGTGCTCGAAGGCGGGTTGGTCTCGTAGATGCTGGTTGGGTGACCGCTTCTTCGAAGTGTTGGTTCCCGGACAACTGAGTTTCCTGCGAAGTGTTTAGGTGTATGCCAGTGTCGGGAACGGTCTGCGGAACAGAAGAGGTGTTTGGGGGTGGTTCGTAGAATCCCCAGTTGTCGATCTCATCTCCTCCTCTTGGCTTTGCCGTTCCACATCCTCCCCTCCAAATGTGGTTAATATGTCGATCAACCACCTTGCCGTTGTCAAGGCGTACCGTATAGCGCGTCTTAGATAAGATCTTCCAGACCTCGCCCTGTTCACGCTTATTCCTGCTCGTCAAGACCACTACACGATCTCCCACGGAAAGTTGACGTGGAATGGTGCCGTGGTGTCTGTTAAACTGCTGCTTCATACCTCGTCGTATTGCCGGAGTAGACGCTCCAGAATGTTCACCGGTTGAGAACTTAGGAAACAGTTTGGTGAACGGCGTGTTCATCCGTCTGCCGAAGAAGATTTCGGCCGGAGATTTCCCGGTATCTGTTGCGGAGCACGGCGAATACCTGTAGCTGTACAAGAACTCGTATAACTGTTTCTTCCAGTTTGTAGGATCCTTCGCGATAGCTCTTTTTACCGTATCCACCATTCTTTCGGCCTGACCGTTCGATTGTGGATGATTTATTGCTGACAAGAGATGCGTACATTGCATTTCACGACAGAAGACAGCGAATACTTCTGCTGTAAACTGGGTGCCGTGGTCAGTGACGATCACCTCGGGAGCGCCATATCTGGCGAAAATTTCGCGACACATCTCGACGGTACGGCTTGCTGAAATCGAGGTTGAGAGTGATACGTCTAGGTATTTAGAGTATGCATCCACAAAAATTAGGATGTATTTTCCGTCGATGGGACCAGCGAAGTCCAGGTGCACCCGCTCAAGGGGACGTGATGGTACCGGCCACGGGTTGAGCGGCACCTTGCGAGGAAGCTTCTGGGTCAGCGCACAAGGATCGCACTGGCGTACAAGCTGTTCGATGTCTCCTGACATTTTTGGCCAGTAGACGTACTCTCTTGCGAGTTGTTTCATTCGACGGATGCCCGGATGTCCTCGGTGGAGAGCGGTCAAGATAGCTGGCCTCAGCTTGTCAGGGATGACAATCCTATCACTGAGTAGGAGTGTACCGTCCACTATGGCGAGTTGATCGGCGCGTCTTTGGTAGTGCTGTAAGGACTCAGGATTCCCAGTACTGCTCCAGCCTTCTCTGATGGCCTTGAACACAGCGGTGAGGATGGAATCATCTTCCGTAGCCTTTTTTAGCTTGCCTCGAATTTCCTTTCCGAACGAGTCGATGCAAGTATTCCTGACTTGGAGGAGTTCCTTTTCGACCTCCTGCACCCCCGCCACCTGTAGTTCTTCGGCATTATCCTGGCGGAATTTTACCATCAACCGCGACAAGGCGTCTGCTTGCCCGAAGTCTTGAGTACGAATGTATTCAATCTTGAAATCATACCCAAGAAGACGCAGTGCCCAACGCTTGAGCCGTGCTGCTGTGGTTGGTCTCAGGCCCTTTGTGTTTTCGGTTTGGAGCAGGGCCACCAGTGGCTTGTGATCAGTTTGTAAGACGAACCGTCTGCCCCATACGAATTTATGGAAGCGTTCAACTCCAGTGACGAGCGCAAGTGCTTCCTTTTCCAGCTGGGAATAATTCCGTTGGGAGTCCGTGAGACTTCGACTCATGTGATAAACGGCGCGTTCGTGTCCGTTAGAGTCGCGTTGAAGTAGGACTGCTCCGATCCCAGTGGAGCTAGCATCGGCAGCCACTATCAGTGTCTTTGTTGGATCGTAGTGTTCTAGCAGGAGTGGACTCAGCATCACATTTTTAATCTTTTCCATAGCAGCGTCGTGATGTTTATTCCACATCCAAAGCTTGTTTTTGCGTGTCAGCTCTTCGAGGGGACGCTTTATTTCATGTAAATAGGGAATAAATTTCCCGTAGTGGTTCACCAGACCGAGAAGACTCTGCACCTCTGAAACATTTTTTGGATTAGGCATGCTTGCTATGGCCCGTGTTGCCTCAGGATCGGCAGAAATGCCATGTTTATTCACTATCAACCCAAGATATTTGATTTGTTGAACAGTGAAAAAGCACTTCTCGAAGCTGAGTTTCCATCCCTTTTCCTCCAGGCGTTGCAAGGTCCGCACTAGACGCTCGTCGTGCTCCTGACGATTGCAACCTACAACTATGACATCGTCAAGGTACGCGTAAACTCCTTCGAGCCCAGAGAGGGTACTATCCATTGCTTGCTGGAAAATCGCCGGCGCCGTTTTGATACCGAAGGGTAGGCGCTTGAACCGAAATAGCCCTTTCGGAGTAGTAATGGTAGTAATTTCTCGATGGGCCTCGTCAATCTCAAGCTGCATAAACGCCTCGCTTAGATCGATCAAACTGAAAAAACAACCACCGTTAAGTTTTGTAATAATGTTATCCACACTAGGCAGAGGGTGACGGTTGTCTGTCAGAGCGCGGTTGACTCCGGTAGAGTAGTCGGCACACAGTCTAATTTTCCCATTGTTTTTCCTGACCATAACGATGGGTGACGCCCAATCCGATGACTCCACACGCTCAATGATATTCCTTGATTCCAGTCGCTGGAGTTCCTCTTCGAGGGGCTTCTCCATGGCAAACGGAATTGGACGACAAGGAATTTGTACAGCCCGCGCGTCACTTGTGAGATTGAATTTGACTGTGAAATCGTGACACTTCCCGAGTTCGTTCGAGAACAGGTTAGGAAATCGTTTGGTGACTGCGTGCGCGTGTGCGTCGCCAGTTGGCGTGGCTGTCGGTACAGCTTTGTTTGTAACTCTTTTGGCCGATGGCGCAACTGCCGGCCCTAAAGAGTACGAAGTGTTCAACTCTGACAGCGGAACAGACCAAAGCTGGAGATTATCGACGGCGTTTAGGCCGAATAGATTCACACCATTCCGATTGGCGACGTGAATATCGATTTCCGCTTCTCGGTCGAGCACACTGACCGTCGTGCGAAAGCAGCCGAGTGTCCCAAGCTCGCTTCCTCCAGCGTGTACCACCGTTTCGCTTTTCGTAAGGCCCGGGGATCCCAGGTGGCGCCAACAATCTTTCCCGATGATAGTGATATCCGAACCGGTATCGTATTGAAGAGTTAGGATTTTGTCGCCCACAGATACCGCCACGAAACGTCGACGTCGTTTACTGACAGTAGAAAGTGCCAGCGTGGTTACACTCTTACTTTTTACGACAGATTTCAGCTGTTTCCCTTCTGATCGGCACACTACGGCGATGTGGCCCTTTCTGCCACACTTGTTGCACATTGCATCCCGAAATTTGCATTTTACACGAGGGTGATCACCACCACAACCGTTACATTTGACACTTGTGGGAGGTTGAAACGAACTGACCGGAGGTTTCGGCCCTTTCGGATCGTACCGTTTCGGCACTTTCGGATCGTACCGTATCGGCTGTGTCACTTTGAGAACCGAAGGCGACACAGCGCTCAGCGGATTTTCAAGCGTTTTCATGCTTGAAGATATGTTTAAGTACGCTTCCAGTTCGGTGACAACGTCTTTGAGGGAGGCTTCCCGATTTTTCTCGACAACTCGGAGAGCTATCCTCTTCAGCTCGTCGTGTTCACTCGAGTAGCAGAATGACTGTAAAAGTAACAGTATTCTCAACCCATCGTCGGACAATCCCGGTCGATCAAACTCGGCCGCGTGGCGATTGATGCGATCGATATGCTCCGTGATTGGGGTAGACTTGTCGTATCGGTAATTCAGGACTTCTATACGTCGGCGTATTACCGACACCTTGTCTCGGAAGAGTTCCTTTAAAACTTCCAGAAGGTTCTCTTGACTCATCTCCGACGGATTTAACGGTGCGACGTGGTCCACAAGTCTATCAAATTCCGATTGACCGAGCTTGTCAAGTACGAGACGTGTTCTCATTTCCGGAGAGAGACACGCTGCCTCCGTGCAGATTGTAAACTCGTGACGGAGAAGCCATTTCCTGAACGGCTTTGTATCCTCTGCCGTCCCGTATGTATATTTTTCGATGCGAGCACTTAACTGATTATAAGCGTCGATTTGAGGTGGTCCTCCAGCCTTCCCTGCACTACTCTGTTGAATTTGTAGTTGAAGCAGGCTCTGAATGGCTGACGTGAGAGACTTTAGGTCGTCATTGGCGGTCGCCATGATGCACGTTTCCCACACGACACAGGTTCTGCTGAATTTTGGTACGAAAATTCAGACTTCTTTAGCCGCAGCGCCAGTTGTTGTGTTCGTCGCGGGCATGGGCTCCCCGTCCAGCCAACTGACTCTCGCCGCCCCGGCGCATGGCAAGCCCGTTTGCCGCGCCTCCTGGCGGCACCTACTATACCCAACAAATAATGTTGTCCAAAAATTGATTTTGAGTTTCAATGTGCTCTAAAGTAGAAGGTAGAACTTTGATAACGTCTGAGTCGCCATCTTTTATTAGTGGAGGGATTAGGAGAGCTAATGGAGATTATTATAGAAGCTAATGGATACTCAGGCTCAAACTTGAATTAATAAAATTGGTCGAAAGTTGATTTTGAGACCTAATGTGCTCTAAAGTGTGAGATGCAACTTCAATAACGCCAGAGTCGCCATCTTTTATTAGAAGGGGGATTAGGAGAGCTAATGGAGATTTCTATAGATGCCAATGGAGACTCAGGCTAAAAATTACAATAATAATGTTGGCCAAAAATTGATTTTGAGTTCCAATGTGCTCTAAAGTAGAAGGTAGAACTTTGATAACGTCTGAGTCGCCATCTTTTATTAGTGGAGGGATTAGGAGAGCTAATGGAGATTATTATAGATGCTAAAGGAGACTCAGGATCAAAATTAAATTGATAAAATTGCTTGAAAGTTGATTTTGAAACCTAATGTGCTCTAAAGTGTGAGATGCAACTTCAATAACGTCTGAGTCGCCATCTTTTATTAGTGGAGGGATTAGGAGAGCTAATGGAGATTTCTATAGTTGCCAATGGAGATTCAGGCTAAAGATTACAATAATAATGCTGGCCAAAAATTGATTTTGAGTTCCAATGTGCTCTAAAGTAGAAGATAGAACTTTGATAACGTCTGAGTCGCCATCTTTTATTAGTGGAGGGATTAGGAGAGCTAATGGAAATTATTATAGATGCTAATGGAGACTCACGCTCAAACTTGAATTAATAAAATTGGTCGAAAGTTGATTTTGAGACCTAATGTGCTCTAAAGTATGAGATGCAACTTCAATAACGTCTGAGTCGCCATCTTTTATTAGTGGAGGGATTAGGAGAGCTAATGGAGATTTCTATAGTTGCCAATGGAGATTCAGGCTAAAGATTACAATAATAATGCTGGCCAAAAATTGATTTTGAGTTCCAATGTGCTCTAAAGTAGAAGGTAGAACTTTGATAACGTCTGAGTCGCCATCTTTTATTAGTGGAGGGATTAGTAGAGCTAATGGAGATTATTATAGATGCTAATGGAGACTCACGCTCAAACTTGAATTAATAAAATTGGTCGAAAGTTGATTTTGAGACCTAATGTGCTCTAAAGTATGAGATGCAACTTCAATAACGCCAGAGTCGCCATATTTTATTAGAAGGGGGATTAGGAGAGCTAATGGAGATTTCTATAGATGCCAATGGAGACTCAGGCTAAAAATTACAATAATAATGTTGTCCAAAAATTGATTTTGAGTTTCAATGTGCTCTAAAGTAGAAGGTAGAACTTTGATAACGTCTGAGTCGCCATCTTTTATTAGTGGAGGGATTAGGAGAGCTAATGGAGATTATTATAGAAGCTAATGGATACTCAGGCTCAAACTTGAATTAATAAAATTGGTCGAAAGTTGATTTTGAGACCTAATGTGCTCTAAAGTGTGAGATGCAACTTCAATAACGCCAGAGTCGCCATCTTTTATTAGAAGGGGGATTAGGAGAGCTAATGGAGATTTCTATAGATGCCAATGGAGACTCAGGCTAAAAATTACAATAATAATGTTGGCCAAAAATTGATTTTGAGTTCCAATGTGCTCTAAAGTAGAAGGTAGAACTTTGATAACGTCTGAGTCGCCATCTTTTATTAGTGGAGGGATTAGTAGAGCTAATGGAGATTATTATAGATGCTAATGGAGACTCAGGCTCAAACTTGAATTAATAAAATTGGTCGAAAGTTGATTTTGAGACCTAATGTGCTCTAAAGTGTGAGATGCAACTTCAATAACGCCAGAGTCGCCATCTTTTATTAGAAGGGGGATTAGGAGAGCTAATGGAGATTTCTATAGATGCCAATGGAGACTCAGGCTAAAAATTACAATAATAATGTTGGCCAAAAATTGATTTTGAGTTCCAATGTGCTCTAAAGTAGAAGATAGAACTTTGATAACGTCTGAGTCGCCATCTTTTATTAGTGGAGGGATTAGGAGAGCTAACTTAGATTAGTATATATGCTAATGGAGACTCGGGCTCAAACTTGAATTAATAAAATTGGTCGAAAGTTGATTTTGAGACCTAATGTGCTCTAAAGTGTGAGATGCAACTTCAATAACGCCAGAGTCGCCATCTTTTATTAGAGGAAGGATTAGGAGAGCTAATGGAGATTTCTATAGATGCCAATGGAGACTCAGGCTAAAAATTACAATAATAATGTTGGCCAAAAATTGATTTTGAGTTCCAATGTGCTCTAAAGTAGAAGGTAGAACTTTGATAACGTCTGAGTCGCCATCTTTTATTAGTGGAGGGATTAGGAGAGCTAATGAAGATTATTATAGAAGCTAATGGATACTCAGGCTCAAACTTGAATTAATAAAATTGGTCGAAAGTTGATTTTGAGACCTAATGTGCTCTAAAGTGTGAGATGCAACTTCAATAACGCCAGAGTCGCCATCTTTTATTAGAGGAGGGATTAGGAGAGCTAATGGAGATTTCTATAGATGCTAATGGAGATTCAGGCTAAAAATTACAATAATAATGTTGGCCAAAAATTGATTTTGAGTTCCAATGTGCTCTAAAGTAGAAGATAGAACTTTGATAACGTCTGAGTCGCCATCTTTTATTAGTGGAGGGATTAGGAGAGCTAATGGAGATTATTATAGATGCTAATGGAGACTCACGCTCAAACTTGAATTAATAAAATTGGTCGAAAGTTGATTTTGAGACCTAATGTGCTCTAAAGTGTGAGATGCAACTTCAATAACGCCAGAGTCGCCATCTTTTATTAGAGGAGGGATTAGGAGAGCTAATGGAGATTTCTATAGGTGCTAATGGAGATTCAGGCACAAAATTAAATTAATAAAAATAGCCAAAGATTAATTTCGAGACTTAATCTACTCCAAAGTACAAGACACAACATCAATAACACCTAAAATAGTTGTTAATATCATGCTTCAATATCACTTAAGCGGATCAATTAGATGAAACATTCAATGCAAGGATGTTGAGGAGGCTAAATATGAATTAATCCTCAAGGAGTATTAACATAATGGGAATTACCAATTTCTCTAGAGAGACTCGAGTATTCGCTCTCGACAGTATAATTACCAAGAACATTATGCACCATATTCTTCCTGCTGATCGATTCCAACCTATCCTTTAAGATTCAACTTGTCCTGTCTGATAAAAAAAAAAAAAAGAAACAAATTTCATCCTCCAAGTATTCGACAGTGTTTCGAGCTTCATCGAGCAGCATTTTATGCATCGACTGGATAACAGTGTTTCAGTTCTTCTTTTCCCCCAAGAAACCTTGGACGTTCTGGGTAAATTAAATGTCTTGAGTGTGCTTTGACACGGCTCGATGGAAGCAATCTATCGTTTATGAAAGGTGCCGTGACAAGCTCGATTTATTAAACGCTTATCGAACGATTTATTCGCTGGCCTTTAACGATACTGGTGTTGGTAATTCCCCGCTTTTATCCACTTTTCATTATTCCCGCGCTCCTACGATCTTCCCCCGTAATTTTCATTAACTTCCCGTTTCGCCGTTTCGTTTCGAGACGTTTCTTTCGATCTTCAGCTACGCCTCCAATGCAGCGTCGTTTCTCCACCGTTCGCAGGAAATACGCCATTGTATCGATTTATCGGCACCAACAAAGTGCTAATAAGGTTATTCGCTTTTAATCGATTTCCATGCTTCGTTTTATCGAGGCAAAGAAACGTAAATTGGAAAAACAAGAATCGGACGTGGAACGATGGGCTTTCGACGCTATTACGGTCCAATCCTTTTCGCGAGAACCAAATAACCGCCTGATATCGTTTGTATCTTAATTTAATGCAATAGCAATTCACTCTTCGATAATTGTCCTTTTATATGTTAAAGGATATTTTGTATGAAAAGAAAATTTCAGTTCATTTCTCTTCTGGTAGTTGCAACTTTCAATTATCTTTTTTTTAAGTATTCTTATACAGGGTGTTTGGCCACCCATGGGGAAAATTTTAATGGGAGATTTTGGAGGCCAAAATCAGACGAAAATGAAGAATATCAATTTCTTGACAGAGACTTCATTAAAAAGTTATCAAAAAATTAAATTAACAACAAAAATTATTTAATAATAAGAAAAAATAAAATTCTGAAATCAAAATTTTAATTACTTTTCACAAATCATACTAAAAAAATTATATTTAGTTACAGGGGCCAATTACAATCACTATTGGTAAAGAGACATACCCCTGAAATCCTACTCATTTTCGAGAAAAAAATTTGAGTAGGTATTAACATTTTTAGACGAAATTGAATAATTTCAAATCATACTAAAAAAATTATATTTAGTTACAGGGATCAATTACAAGCATTTATGGCGAATAGACATACCCCTGAAATCCTACTCATTTTCGAGAAAAAAATTCGAGTAGATACTGAAATTTTGAAATGAAATTAAACAATTTTAAATCATACTAAAAAAATTATATTTAGGTACTGGAGTCAATTACAAGTATTTTGTGACGAATAGACATACCCCGAAATCCTACTCATTTTCGAGAAAAAAATTCGAGTAGATACTGAAATTTTCAGATAAAATTAAAAAATGTCAAATCATACTAAAAAAATTATATTTAGTTACAGGGGTCAATTACAAGCATTTTTGGTGAATACACATATTCCTACAATCCTACTCATTTTCGAGAAAAATATTCGAGTAGGTACTGAAATTTTTAGACGAAATTAAAAAATTTCAAATCATACTAAAA